TGGAGGAGGAGGAGGAGAGGGAGGGGGAAGAGGAGGTGGACACCCTGAAGTGCGGCTTGTGCGGTGATCGCTTGTGAAGTGCGGCTTGGAGGCAGTTTCAAAGCCTTTTGGGGGCAGTTTTGGGGCCGTTTGGGGGCCTCTTGGGGGCCTCTTGGGGCCTCTTGGTAGCGTCTTGGGGGCTTCTTGGGGCCTCTTGGGGCCTTTTGGGGCCGTCTTGGGGCGGAAGGCTCGGATTGTCGGTTCAATCTCCCCCTCTTGGGCCCCTCTTGGAGCTGTCTTGGGGCCTCCTGGGCCGTCTGTGGGGCCTCTTGGGCTGTCTTGGCGCCCTCTTGGGCCGACTTGGGCGCCTCGTGGGGGTCTCTTGGGCCGTCTTGGGGCGGTCTTGGGGTGCTCGTGGACCGTCTTCAACGCCGTGAGGGCGGACAAGTCGCATATGATCAAAATGTTCGTTTTCCCATTGGAATTTGACGATTTTCGTCTCTTCGGCCCGTCTGAGGACTGCTCTTGGAGGCCTTTTGGGCCGTCTTGGAGGCCTCTTGGCCTGTCTTGGGGCCATCTTGGGCGTCTTGGAGCGCTCGTTTGGCGTCTCGGGGCCCTCGTGGGCACTCTCGGAGGCCTCTCGGGGCCTTCTTGATTCGTCTTGAGCCAATTTTGGGTCCAAAACAGCCCCGTGAGTCGCTCGTCCCGGGCCCGGGGGGGGGGGGTCGAATTTCCGGTTTGGGGTCCCGGGGGGGGTTAGGGGGGGGAAACTTTCTCACACGCCTAGAGACCCACAAGGGGTCGGCGGATTTCGGGGGCTTTCTGTTATCGATGAAGAAAGAGACCAGACATGGTCGCGTCGCAAGAAAATCACGACGGGAGGTTTTTGGCCGCTTGCGGCCTCTGGAGGCCCCTACCGAGCTCCAGGGCAGCCAGAAAACGTTTCGGGATAAGGAACCCGTCCCGGGGAACGGGCCGAGTCTTCTGGGAGTCGATATGGGCACAGATCATGACGTCGGGGGTCTGGGAAGGACGCGCCCCTAAATTTCCAGATGTCCGCGCGGACGCCTTGGAGCTGCGATGTTCCCCCCGTTCCCCCTCCCTCGCGCGCGGAGCGCACCTAGGGCGGCGCCGGAGGCACAGCCAGGGAGTTCCGGCGCAGGTCCAAGGTGACCGCGCGGAACTCCGAATGGTTTTCTGCTTCTGCTGTTTGAGCAGATGCGAGTGGTGAGGCATGCGTGTTGAGTGGTCACGGCAACGCCTAAGCTCAGAGTGTCGAGTCAAGGCATGCGTGCTTCTCCGCAGCTGTGTCTGACGAGTGACGCTAGGTCGCGAAATGCCTCGTGCTCATCACTCATGTTTGCCGCCTCTGCCTCCCCTCGTCGTGCCTTGTGGAGTAGACTCGGTGGCCACATGCGAACCCGACCCCACCACCCCACGATTTCTGAGGGGGGAGGCGGGGTCCACTCCGATCGCTTCTTGGAAAGCGTGGGGTGGTGGGGTCGGGCTCGCACGTGGCCGCCTCTCGATGTCGTTTTGCTCCTGCCCCTCCGAGGTGGAGGGCTGTGGCTGGCCACCGCGCGCGGCGCCTCCGGCCCGGGCCCCCTGGGAGTGGGCGGGCCGCGCGGGCGCGCCGGGAGGCGGCGCTCCGGCGGCGGCGGGCGCGGCGCGGGGCGCGTGGCCGGGGCCCGTGCCGCTCGCGCTGGCCGACCAGGCGGAGCCGGCCCCGAGCAGATCGACCCGCTTCGGTGGCGAGTTCGTCGGGCCCGAGGCGACTCGACTCTCCGAGCTCGGCGGCGCGCAATGGGGGGGGGGCCAGGGGGGAGGGGCCCGGAGGCTTCGTGGAAGCCCCCCGGCGTCTCAGAGCGCGCGGGCCTCGTCTGCAGACGCGAGGCCGGAGCCTTTCAAGAAGCAGCCGCCTTCTGAGAAGCCTTCCCCCCTTCCCCCTTCTCCGTTGCACGCGCCGGCAACCGATCTTCCGACGAGCCGAGGCGGCCCGATGCGTGCATGGCGCTGTTGTGCATCCTGGCGCGGCCGGTCCGACCCGATCTCGATTTTCCGTGCCGATGCGGCCCGACTTCGGCGCGCGTTCCGAGCCGATCTGGTTTGTCGATTCGATGCTTTACCCGTCCTGCCAGGTTGAGGAGCCCGTCAGCGGCAACGGCGGACCTCGGAGACGAACAAGAGTTCATCAGCATGAGCTTTCGGAGCTCCGCGCGGATTTCTCGGATCTGCGCCAGGGCGCGGCGCCTCCAGCGCCGCCCCTGACGCGCCTGGCGCGGTTCCAAGACATCCGCGAGGAATTGCCAGTGTTTATCGTGATGACACGTTCCCTTCCTCTAGGATGGGCTGGTTCCTTTCGCTTCTCGTTCTGCATCCGCTCCGCGGAAGGGAACGACCTGGGCCTGGACGTCGCGTACGAGGAAGGAGACACTGACCTGCTCGTGGCGGCCGTCCTCGAAGGAGGCGCCATCGACTCTTGGAACCGCCAGTGCTGTGGGGACAAGGCGTCCAGGGCCATCCAGGCTTCGGGGGAAGCCTACCCAGACCCCCAACGCAATGATTTTTTCGTAACGTCGACCCCCAGAGGTCTCGACCCATTTCCGGGGACCGGTTTTGCGTCCTGAGTCGTTTTTTGCTGGTCCCGAGGCCCGGGAAGGCCCCCTGGAGGCCGAAACTAACGAAACACAGCCCGTCGTGATTCTTTCACAGCGCGAGGAGGTTTGGGGGGGACACCCACTTTGCGCAATCATTGTCTTGGCCAGGCCCATCTCGACTCCTGGGCTCGGTGCACGCACGACGTGCGCTCTGGCCACGCTGGCAGCGTGCCTGCTCCCGCTCCTGGGACCAGCAAGGGCCTGTCCACGACTGGGTCTCGGTGCATGCGACGAGCTAGCGTAAAGTCGGGCATGTCCCTCTTCAGGGGGGAAACTCAAAGACAGTGAAAAATAGTGTGGGGACGATATGTGGACTATTTGTGGCTATGTTCGAACGTGTTGGGCCAATGTGTTCCTTTCCAAAATTCGCCTGTCGGAGGACATGCCCGACCTAGCGCTAGCGTCCTGCTGAGGCGGGCGACAGGATCGAGAGCGTCAACGGCGCGACCGGAATCCTGGACATGCTGTGGGAGGTCCATGCGAAGAAGTTGCTCCGGCTCTGCGTCCGGCGCGACTTCCAGTGAGGTGGTCTCAGGCAGGCCTATAGGATGAGGACAAGTGGCACGCGTGCCCCGGCTCTTGCACCAAGGAGCTGCGAGGGACGGGATCCTTCCTCCAGGAGTTTCCTTCTGTGGCCGGAGGGGGGGGAGGACGAACGACGAATGAACGGACGACGACGACGACGACCAAGAGGAAAGAGCTCCGAGCCCTAGAACACAGCAGTACAGGAGAATACATCGCTCCGAAACCCTCGGAGAGGGATCCAGAACGCTCTGGATCGGCCGTGGCGCCCGATACATTTCGTGGGCGAGAGCGTATGTCCGTGTCCGCGGCCTCGCGGGCCGGGACCCCCGGCCGCGACCCCGCGGCTGCGGGGCGTGCCTGTTCGCGGATGCCCCGCGCGGAGCCCGTGCCGCCGCGTGTATCCGCGGGGTGTCCCCGACAGAGTCCAGGCCGCGAGGGCGCGGGTACACTCGTGCGATGTCGTGAGTGTCACTGCGGGGTCCCCCGAAGTCCCGACCCTTTCCCCCAGGGGCCGGCTTTGCCCACCGGGCAGTGTCGTCTGTTCACGGCCCCGCGGCCCGGCGAGGGCCCCCGCATGCTGCAGACGGCCGCGAGCCGCCTGCCACGGTTCACGACGCGAGCAACTCGGGGGATATCAGGAGGGAAAGCAACGCACAGACACCATGAATCGTCGATTCCGCAGAACATATGGGAACATATGGGAAGTGGGGGGGAAGACGAACACCAAACAAATATAGGAACGTATGGGGAATCATGTTATTTGTGTGTATTTGTTTGTGTGTCCCAGGGCCCCTTCAGGATAGATCGCCCGACCTAGGACAGAACCGCACCCTCCAAGAGCTCGAGACCCTCCGCCACCCCATCCGCAGAGAGCATTCGAGGGCCCCCCTCCCCCAGGATGCACGAGAGCATCCCGGAGACACCAGGGGGGCATCGTTGGCACCCGCCCCGAGCCGACCCCGATCTTCTCACACCTGCAGGGCCGAGCGTAATTATGCTCGCCGCTCGCGGCTGCAGGCCCGAGGCCTCTCGGCGAGGTCGGCTCTTGTCCGCATCCGCAGTTGTCCTCGTCCTGCCTGTTCTTAGCCGACCCCGATCTTAAACCTACAGGGCCGAGCGTACGCTCGCCGCTCGCGGCTACAGGCCCGGGGCCTCTCAGAGAGGTCGGCCCTTGTCCGCCTCCGCACTTGTCGGGGGTGGACAGAGCCCCCAACAGTGACACGTCGATCAGTGAATTGTCCGTTTTCGGTTCTCGAGAGGGCGCCGCGGCCGCTATTTCCCAGGCTTGCGCCCGCCAGGTTTGGGCCTCAGGTCGTTTTCACTAAACCACGTTTTACTAAAGGGGGGTCTGTCCATCCCCGCATTTGTCCTCGTCCTGCCTGTTCTCAGGTCGGGCCTGCCCCCAGACGCAGGCGGATCGTGGAGGACACATTGAACACTGGTCACAACATGGGCTGTCCCGATCGCTGCCAGTGGGTCGGCACCGCGCGGTCGCGCTGCGCTCAGCCCCCCCCGAAAAAAGTCGAAACATGTTCCACAATAGCCAAACAATCATAGAAACATTGTCCCCGGACTTTTTTGTTTGGCCCGTTTTGAATACAGTCGGGGCCCTAAAGAAGGAACCCTTTTCGTTGGGGAGGGGCTCGGTGTTCCTTGACTGTTCTGCAGTTTGCCTTTCCTTTTCCTGCGGTTTTTTCCACGGGGAATCGAATTTTAACTCATGGAACAAACGGGGCCTCGGTCCTTCTCTTGGGCTCCTTAGGGCTAGGAGTGGGGGGAGGAAGCGGAGGAGGAGGAGGAGGAGGAGGAGGAGGAGGAGGAGGAGGAGGAGGCGGAGGAGGAGGAGGAGGAGGAGGAGGAGGAGGAGGCGGAAGAGGAGGAGGAGGAGGAGGAGGCGGAGGAGGAGGAGGAGTTTTTTTGCCCGTTTTTGAATACTCCTCCTGCAGGGGGGGGCATGCCCGACCTGGGCCTCTTCGCCCGAGGGTCGGGCGGCGGCGCGCCCCGCGTCTCGGCTCGGGCGCGGCCGGCGCGGGGAGCGCCCGCGCGCCGAGAGCGGGCAGGAGGGGGAGCAGGGAGGGGGAGGAGGCGAGGGAGGAGGCGGCGGGGGGGGGGGCAGGAGGCAGGAGGGAGGAGGAGGAGGAGGACGGCGAGGAGGAGGAGGAGGTGGGAGGCGGAGGAGGAGGACGAGGGAGAAGGAGGAGGAGGAGGCGGAGGAGGAGGAGGAGGAGGAGGAAGAGGAGGAAGAGGAGGAAGAAGAGGAGGGCGAGGGAGGCGGGAGAGGACGACGAGGAGGATAGATAATGGAGGATGAAGGAGGGTGGGCGAGGAGGAGAGAGAGGTTCATTGGTAGGTCACTTCGCTATAAGCGAGAAGGCTAGGGCTGAGGACGAGGAGGGAATCGACATGGTCACCAGCTCGCAATCGGGTGGCACAGACGACCCGCTGAGAGGCCAAACGCTGCGCAAGGATCGCCTGTCGCGAACATCCAAAACTGCAGGCCAAGCCTGGCAAGTCCTGACAGTAATTACTCAAGCAGACAGCTGAGGCTCCATGCAGGCGTTTAATTTCCGACAACTTACGCTCTGCCCATGCATCGCACTGGGGGGGAGGATTGAGGGGGAGGATGGAGGGGGAGCAGGAGGAGGAGAGGTCAGACTGTCTGCCGAAGGCCAGCCTGAGACTCACGCTTAACCCTTTGGCCCGAAGGCCACGATCGAACGAGAAGGATAATCAGGATGAGGAAGAGGAGGAAGAGGAGGAGGAGGAGGAGGAGGAGGAGGAGGAGGAGCAGGGGAAGGAGAAGGGGAATGATGAGGAGAAGGATTCGGAGGTTCGCAGCCGGGTGGAGAGGAGGACAGGGTGGTGTGCGGGGCAGGGGAAGAGAACGACGAGGAGGATGATAAAAAGAAAGAGCTGAGGAGGAACAGGAGGAGGAGGAGGAGGAGGAGGAGGGACGGAGGAGGATGGAATACGGACGATGAACGATGGAGGAGGAGGAGGAGGAGGAGGAGGAGGAGGAGGAGGAGGAGGAGGAGGGGGAATGATGAGGAGGAGGAGATGGATGATTGAGGGGATGGATGATTGGAGAGATGGAGGACTGCGGAGGCAGATCGAGAAGGATTGCGGAGTGATGGGCGTTGATGGTGATGGTGATGATGGTAGTGATCATGCTACCGATATCGATGCTGATGATGGTGATGATGATGACGACGGCGATGGTGATGATGATGCTGATGCCGGTGATGATGATGGTGATACCGATGAAGATGCGTCTGATGATGACGATGATCATGATGCTGCTGATGACGATTGTGATGATGCTTGCTGATGCTGATGCTGATAATGATGATGGTGATGGTCATGGCGACGTAGATGTCGGTGGTGGAGGGTGGTGATGGTGGTGGTGGTGATGATGATGGCTATGGGGATGATAGTAGTGATGACAGTGATGACGACGATGATGGTACTGATGATTCTGAACATGCCGATCATGACGATTACCATGATGATGGTGATGACGATGCTGATGATTATGATGGTGATGGTGGTAATGATGATGATGGTGATGATGATGATGATGATGCTGATCATGTTGATGATCATGCTGCTGCTGTTGATGACGATCATGATGATGATAATGTTGCGGCTGATGATGAAGATGCGTCTGATGATGTTGATGGTGATGATGATAACGATGCTGATGAGTATCATGCTGATGAGGATGATGACCACGATCCTGATCATGACCATGATGATGAGGCTGATGTTAGTGATGATGATGGTGATAATGAGTAGGCTGATGATGATGTTGATGGTGATGATGAGGATGCTGATGATGATGCTGCTGATGATGATGATGGTGATGAGGATAATGCTGATGATGCTGATGATGCGGATTTTGCTTCGGGTGATGATGATGATGATGCTGATGATGATGCTGATGATGATGATGATGATGATGCTGCTGATGATGATGATGATGATGATAACGCGGATGATGATGACAACGATGATGATGACGATGCTGCTGATGATGATGACGATGACGACGAGATGGATGCTGTTTATACTGATGGTGGTGGTGATAAGGATGACGATGATGGCGATGATGATGGTGGCGGTGATAATGATGATGATGATGATGATGATGATGATGATGATGATGATGATGATGATGATGATGATGATGATGATGATGATGATGATGATGATGATGATGATGATGATGATGATGATGCTGATGATGATGATGATGATGATGATGATGGGGAGTGGAGGCCCTGGTGCGCCCCTGTCCTGGGGTAGACGGGCGCCGCTCTGAGGGGGCGTGAAATTAGTGGCGTCCCTCGGAGCGCCCTGCACTCGGCGCGGGAGGGAAGCAGAGGAGCGGCGACGCGAAAAAAGACGGCAGCCAGGAGGAGGAGGAGGAGGAGGAGCAGGAGAAGGAGGAGGAGGAGAAGGAGAAGGAGAAGGGGGAGCATGATCCGACTGACTGATTGACTGACTGACTGACTGTCTGACTGTGGACGAGGAGGAGGAGGAGAAAGAGGGAAGAGGAGGAGGATGAGGAGGAGGATGAAGAATACGAAACCAAGGATCGAAGGGTCGGAGGTGGAGAAGGAGGAGGAGGAGCAGCAGGAGGAAGAGGATCAGCAGGAAGATGATGGACCTATTCGCAAGAGGTTCGCGATCCGCAGTGCCCCCGCCCCCTTGCGGTGGCCGAGGCCACAGAAGGGGCTCAGGAGGCGAGGGGCCTAACTTGCCGCTCGTCCCTCACGCCCTGGCCCCCGTCTTGCGCTGGCGACGACGGCCGCCAATTCTCCTGGCCCGCGAAGACGCCCACCAGCACCGCGAGGAGGCCCGCGAAGCCGAGGAGCAGCGCGAGCGGCACGCCCGGGCACTGGCCGCTGGGATCGGGCCACGGAAGCCGCAGCGAACTCGCGCGGGAGGCCCCGTGGCCCACCAGCCAGAGGCGCTCCGAGCCGCCCCCCTCCGCCTCGGCCCGCTCGAGGGCGATCCTCTCAGAAGCTCCCGGCAGGAGCCCGCTGCTCGAAGCCGACCTCCGCGGGTGCACAGTGCGCCCGCCGCCCTGGACAGCGGCGCTTCGTCGGCCTTTTCCGTTGCCGCCGGCAGGGCCGCCGCCGTCCCCGCGGGGGGCCGCCCAGCGAGAGCCGCCGTCGCCGCCGCGGGGCGGCCGAGGCCGCCGCCTCCCCGCCGCAGGCCCGAGCACGAGCACACGCCGGTCGCTGGTAGCCGGTAGTTTTGGATCCCCAGATCCCAAGCGCGAAGTGCTTCGCGCTTCGCGGTTCGGCTCCGATTCCCCTTCATCCTCTCCTTCTCCCCTGGGAGGCGGCGCGAGAGCGCGAAGTTGTTCGCACTTCGCGCTTCGCGCAGCGCGATGCGCGAAGTTGGGAGCCCTTGAATCTGCTCTGTAGTGCCTTCCCACTTCAAGGGTCGATCTGCTCTTGCTGTGTTTTATCATTCTCCGGGGGGGCCTGAACCCAATCCGTCTACTTCATAACTCCGCCTTCCTACGTTCTGCTTTTACTTACTTCTTCCGGCAAACGGGCAGTGGCGAGGCTCCTTGGCTTGCCGACAGGCCTACCCAGGAATGCTCTAAGAACTTTTCACCTTCGCAGGACCTCTCTGGCCAGGACCGTCGTTGCTCAACACACGCCGGCTTTGTGTGTCTAAGAGCCCGTGTTCTTGTTCGGCGCCGGTCGTTCGAACATGCTATCGTTCGGAGAGCATGTCGTGGTAGGCCCATGGGAATGCGGGGGCGGTCGGCCCCTGCGCAACGAGCACCGCGGCCTTGGCCGGCTGCGCCGGCAGCTGCCGGCGGACGGCCCAACGGCCCCGCTCCAGGCCCTCGCCGCCGCCGCCCTCGCCGCCGAGGCGGTGCCCTCGGCCCTGTCCGCCGACCCCCTCGCCGCCGAGGCGGTGCCCTCGGCCCTGTGCGCCGACCCCCTCGCCGCCGCCGCGGCCCTCTCGGCTTAAGTTGGGCATGTCCCTCTTCAGGAGGAATATGCGAAATCGTTCACAACATAGCCGGTGGCCGATTTTTTTACAAAGAACACGATGTTTGCTTCGTTTTGAGTACTTCTGATTTTCAGAGCGTGAATTACCTCCCCCGCTTTCGCTTCCAGGCAAAACCAAGTCATACCACGCGCCTCCTCGTCAAGAGGCCTGACCAGTACAGGCCGTAGTTTGGCATCGCTTGGTATCTCTTGGAAGCGAGGGTGGTCAAAAGCGAGGTAGGTTTGTTTGCCCCCTAGATTTGTCGTCCAAAAGCCGCCTGTAGGGGGACATGTCCGACCTCCCTCTCGGCGCCCGCGCCCGCCCCCTCGCGCTCGGGGCGGCAGGGCGTGCGGCCTGCCGGCGGCGGGCTGCACCCTGCCGCCTCTCACGGCCTTTCTCAAGAGGCTTTCAGAGCCTCCGTCCCCGATGATTTCGCCCTCCCCCGCCGTAGGGTGCCTCGCTGAACGTGGTGGACAGAGCGTGGAGCTCAACCAAATCCTTCCCCGACGGCACGTTACGACAGCTTCTCGGAGGGTCCCCAGGACTTCTGAGCAGTCCCGCCGCCTTCCGAGAGGGCCTTCTCCTTCGCTCGCCGAGGAACAATGGTGCGCGTGGGGACAGACATTAACCACGGGAGGTTTTTCTAACGTTTCGGCCTCCGGGGGCCCTCGCCGGGCCTCTGAACCGTCAAAACACGGTCAGGATGGCAAACAGGTCCCGGGGACTGGGTGGAGACCTCATGGGGCCGACGTTATGACGAAGTCATGACGTCGGGAGGAGCAAGAGGTATCGATGGCACTGCTCGTCCTGGGGGTCCCTCGCCGCCGCGGCCAGATTCTCTCCTCGAAGCCCACGTCAGAGCGCACCCCAAGAGAGGTCCGTGGAGTGGGGGCATCGGTGCCTTTCGAAGACCCCCGACGTATGGTCTTTTCGAAACAGGGGGCCTCCAGAGGCCTGGGCCCAGTCCCGGGGGACTGGCTTTTCATCCTGGGTCGACTCGTGACAGTCCCGCGGCCCAGTGAGGGCTACCCGAAGCAGACAACAACAGCAACACTTCCGTCGCGACTTTTTCGCGATGCGAGGGGGTCTTGGGTTCTATCCCCCCACGGACTGACCGCGCCGACATGTTCGAGGGGCCGCGCTGATCTGCTAGAGGTGCCGGAATGGTCTGAGCTGGGATGCAACTCCTGGGAGACCCAATTCAGCACATGCGTTGGCACATTCATGGTCAGACACCGATCGTGCTGCCCATCGACCCGCGCTAGAGCGTCCAAGACTTGCTTGAGGTTCTTCGGGGGATCTCTCTGGATCTACTTCGATGTGCCCAGACGCACCTGAATTTACTTGGATCTGCTTCGATCTCGGGGGTGGTAGCAGCTTGGATCGCAGCAGATAGAGTGGAAAGTAGTAATATTGAGTGAAACTTGGCGTGTCGAATCGCACGAATATTTTGTGACACAAGATGGTTGTCTTTTTTTTGATCGAGGTCGGCTACACTAAGCACCAGCGTGGAGCGGGCGTGCTGCTGCACAAGCGGTGGGCCAATCGTGTGCTGGGCAGCGCAGTGATGAACGAGAGGCTCTTGCATGTGGATCTGAACATGGGGGGATTCAAAGCCTGTCGGTTCTGCTTAATATCCACACGCGCTCTTCAGATGTTCGCGTGCAGGCGCTGTGCACGGCGATCCCCAAGCTACGCCAGGACGCAAGGTTAAAGCGGTATTCGTTTATAGTCGGAGCTGATTGCAATGCGCAGGCAGGGGGCAGACTTGAGACGGACGACCCGGACATAATGGGCACGCGTTGCCTGAACAACGAGAACTCCCGGGGCCAGTGGATGAAGCAGTGGGCGCCTCTGGAGCAGCTTGGCATCTGCAACGCGTTTTTTCCAAGCCTCCGGAGAAACGGAAAACGCATACAACTACTGCAGGTCATTGTAGACAGATCGATTTCATTCTGGTTGACAGGAAGTTCTCGAAGCGCGTTCAAGATAACGGTGCTTATACTTATCTCGATCGATCTTGTGTCTGACCATGCTGCTGTCAAGATATTTGCTCGCAATATCATGCCTCAGAAGGAATCCTTGGGCCGAGATGCCGCCAAGGGCGCCATTGCGAGAGTCCCGTGGAAAACCGTGTCAACGGGTGCTTACCGCAACACCATTGCTGAAGCGATGAACAACACGACGCTCGAGGAAGAAACTCCTGAACGGGCAATTCACTAGAGCAGATTTTGAAACGAGCGGCCGAGCAGAACGCTAACCATGCCGATCGACATCAAAATCGGAGTTCTGATGATGTATTGTTGCGCGGGCGTCTAGAAGAGTTGATCGAAGTCCGGAAAACCATGCGTTTGCAAGAGTCGGCACAGCGAGCCCAGCTAAGCAAGCGCATTCGGCGAGCTGTCAGAGCGACGAGCAGGGCCGAAGCCAGCAGACGCATCAGCACCATCATGGAGAAGTTCGCGGGCGTGAAGCACATGCAGAAACTTAACTTTCAGGTGGCGCGTCGGCGGACGGGGACAGCATCATCGCGTCTCGAATCGGAGATGCTTGCGGAAGGCGGGAAAGCATTATTGACGGTATTGACCCGCTTGTACAATGATTTGCTCAAGCCAGATGCGTTGCCGCCAACTACGTGGAAGCAGGCTGCGATTCAGGTCATACATAAGTCTGGCTACGAGCGTTTGGCTGGAAATGATCGGCTGATTACACTCACCCCCATTATATATAAAGCGTTCTCCAGGCTTCTCTACAACCGCTTGTCTCCTGCATTGGATGCGAATCAAAGTTGCGACCAAGCAGGCTTCAGGTACACATTTGGGACAGAGGACCAATTATTCACATTTGAGCTGGTCCAAGAGTCTTGTCAGCAGCACAAAATCCCGTTATGGTGTGCCCTTGATTTTCAGAAAGCTTTTGACGCTGTTGAACACCAGGCGCTCTGGAACGCGCTAGCCAGGCAGGGCGTGCCGATCACTTATCTGAGGTTGCTTATGAAGCTGTATTCTGGCCAGCAGGGGCAAGTGAGAACAGATGCGTCAAGCAGGTGGTTTAGTATTGCGCGAGGAACGAAGCAGGGCGACCCCCTTAGCTCGCTAATTGTCAATGCTCTGTCGGAGGACATCATGTGGCAAGCGAAGACGGTATTGACAAATCGGCACTATGGGCTCCAGCTTGGGTACACGGACTTCTCCCTGGAGTTCGCCTCCGATTTCCCGGATGTTCTCCAGCGCGCGCGCGGTCGCGGCTGTCCCCGGCCTGAAGCCCCACCCGGACGAGACAAATATCTCCACGAATGCGACGAAAAGAAGTTGAAGAGGC